AAAACACTCCATTGTTACTTGTCTCAATTCGTTCTAACTTCCCCCATCCACGAAATTCATCTCTGCTTGCTTCCGAAGTGACGATTTTGGAGGAAAGTTCATATTATCGATCTTGTGTTAGGGTTCAATTATTCTCAGTTTTTCTTTTCTTATGTTTAAAATTGTAGCTGACTTTAGATTACACAATGTAGATTACACAATGTCATCAATTATGGGCTGCTTTTTATCATAGCCCACATGAATGACTTAGTCTTTGCATGAGAAATTTAGACTGAAGCCCATATTCTCACATGCAAGTGGCAAAATTCTCTTTTTCTGCCTTGAATACTGTTTTGTTTATCGTTATATAATAGAAAGAGGGAAGCTTTTAGTTCATACAAACGTAAGGAAGTGTGGTTCCTACACTTCGGTAACCACATAAACTTCATATTATTATGCCGTAAAGAAAAACTACGTGCTTGGAGAATCCAAATATTCGAAATTTTGTTTCTTTTACATTTGATGGCCTTCCAACCACTTGTGTCGCCGTTGGAAGCACATAACAAATCAGGATAATAAGAGACGAAGAATCTCCCCAGAAAACTTGAACAATTTCGCTGTCTCTTCCAAACAATGATTCTTCTCTTCTCTCGTCCATAACTGTCAATACAACATAAAACATGCATTAAAATTAGATTAATGCACCAAACTTTAAAATTTAGAATGCACCAAATTAAAGTAATGTTATGTTCTTTACCTCAGCAACTTTGTTCAATCTTTCTCTCACGTTCTGCAACAGTTCAGAAAGCTGGCCGTCCCATTTGTAGAACTCGAGTTCTTTATTGTTGAGTATCCTCTCAGATATCTAAAAAACCTGTAAACAGTGAGAAAGAAGTTCCGAATGGTTTTCTAGAGTACAAAGTTGTTTGTTATTAACCTTTGTCCCAATCATTCGACCCCCAGCGCTCTGTGCAAAGTAGATGTTGTAGAAGTGACAAACGAATGCTAGAGGATCCTTATTTGCTATATCCTTTAAATACTGAGAATATGTTATACCAGGAGCCATTGGCTCTGGAATCTCGTAACCTTGTTCCTTGAACCACTCTAAATCCATGCGCAACTTCTCTGCCCTTTCCAATCCCGTGTTCTTGAACCCAACATCTACACCAAAAAAACCTAGGTTTTGACAAGGTTACACAAGAAAAAAAACCCCAATTTTGGCATACATAACCATGCGTCATGCGCAAGAACAATGAATGAATATCTTTCATGACAATGTAAGAACGTAAACATTCTTTTAATCAAAGACAA